GGGGAATTCTGGGAATTGAAGTCCACCCGTCTTGAGGAACCCTGGTCTAGCTGAGGTGTCCACAGGAAAGGGGGAATAAAAACAGCCAAGATGGCAGATACCACTGTATGACCTCCTCTTTTTTCACACATGCCGTGCATGTGAAAGGGGCAGGGCTTTGATTATGAGACTGTGGTCACCATCTTGACTTTTTTGACCCCCAGGTATTACGTTTCACATAGCATCCATAGGTGCTGGTTCTTATTCACAAGACAACCCTCAGAGGTTCAGCAGAATGGGTAGAGGGCTTCAAAATGGGTAGAAAAATGGTGTGTGCGCCCTGGTCCCCCTCTTTCTTCTTCCCACTTGCCATTTGTTCCACCAGAGTCTCAAGGAGAGCTGGACCAACAAGAGAACCTAGGTTGGGAAAACAGGAAGCAGCCATGTACCCTTGCCCCCAATCTCTATACATATTCATCTGAGTGTCTGGAGAAGACTATGAATGGGGAAAGGACAAGGGAGGTGAACTTTTTAAAGAATAAGCATTGTTCATACACTTCCTTTCTTTCCAGTTCTCTTCATCACAGTTGACAGAAATAGGAATTTCGTTTCCCATACAAATCAGGGATTCTGTCCAGTATTGATCTGGGACAGCAGAGAGGCATTAAAGCCAACAAGGAGATGTGAACACAAAACATTCTCAAAATCACAAGCAAGGTGCACCGGCTGGCTTCAGAAGGGAATCTGCTAAGACAAAAAGGTGCAGGAATTCTTCCATCGCTCTCACGTTCACTCCTTCCATCCCACTCCGAGAAGCACAGCTGAAGAGTTTGCAAGCTGTCAGTTCCTACGTCTGCTTCATCTTATGCCTGTCCTTAGTCTGAGGATCTGGAAATCGCTGCCACTTTTGAATGGGATGGCAAAGAGTAGCACTCCAGATTTTTTTTTTTTTTTAAGATAGGCACATTGCTCTTATTAGACAAATTTGCCTCCTTCCCCACAAAAGCAAATTTTGCCATCCTCTTTTCCCAGCATGAAATGGAAAAAAAGGGAGTGTATGTTACAGCAGGGTGACATTTGAAATCAAATGGGGAAGGAAAGAATTCCTACTTCTTCACAGCTGATTTTCAGACCGCTTGTACCCCTTGATCTATGTAGAAATAGCCATTAGCAACAGCATCACTAAAACTAGGAACGAAGAAGAAAACTACTGGGGTTCACATTTTATGTATACACAACCTGAAAGCCTTGGAGGCAAACATCCCCCCGCCCCGGGAACCTCTCCAAACAGTCCCATTAAATGAGCATTTTTAATTCCACCAAAGGGAAAGATTCCTGCACAATCATACAGAGTAGAGATATGAACTGTATTTAATTCATGCTGTTTTACTACTAAACAATCTAATTCTTACTTCCCAAATTATTATGTGAACTGGAAAGAAGATATCCTTTGGGTTTTACTTGCCTCTGAACTCTGGGTCCCAGTTCCACAATTCAAGAGTGCGTACAAAAATTAGAATATTAGGAACAATTACACCTATAGGGGATATTGCTTGAGAAAAATGTGTATTTCAGGACAAATGTATAAAAAAGTGCCCAATTTTTCACATGTAATGTTGCCCTCCAAATTCCCAAAGCAATACCAAACGAAAATGAAATGAAACACATCTTACTGTTTCCTTCCTCCTGAGCTAACAACCGTGCATTTATATTACAAGACCATTTTTAAAGTCACAGGATTAAAACTGTCCTCTTCTTAATGAAAAATCAAAGAATCTTACAGTTCTTTTGCTAAGATTCTACAATATTAAATTTTAGGGAAAAAATATGAGAAAAAGCTGGGTGAGCTAAGATTGCAGGGATCCTCTATTATTCTAGCTTTAGTGCTAAATATTCTTTTCTGGATGTTTCATCTTCAAATGTGTTTCAAATGCCAAGGAAATCACCCAGGAACTGTAGGGGAACAAAGTTAGGTAATGGGTTCTTTTTTGGTGAAAAGATGACTAGAAAAACAATATGAAACCTCTTCCATTTTATGTTGGCTTATACCTTTAAAAGACTTAAAACTCTCCAGAATCTCAGAATTTGCTGGGTTCAGCTGTAACATGGATCTGATTTATTTGTCTTCTATAGTTAATCAAGAATTCACCCCATCTTGGTTCTTAACTTATTGGTTATGGTTGGTAATTGAAATTAGATTAGATGGTAAAAAAGAAAAATTAAATTCCTGTAGACACCAATAAGCCTACAGGTATCTTCCTTGCTTTCCGCATGCCAGATTTTTAACCCTCCCTGAACTCAGCTTTTTTTTTTTTTTGCAAGAACGCCTCTTGGCTCTTCAGAGAGCCCCGCAAAACACGCTTAGAAAATAAGAGTTGATGGCTCCAGCGTCGTCCCTTAGAAGGAGCTGCCTGCCTGGTGAATTTTAACCCTTCCTGTAACAGCTAAACAAGCTATCTCGCTCTTGGTCTTTATTTACTTTCTTCTCCCTTCTCTTTATGATATATTTATCCCTTTCCCTTACTTATTTCCCTTCTGTTTTACTTTTTTTCCTCTTTTTTTGCTGTTTTTGTTTGAAGGAAGAAAGGCTGTGTGTGTTTACACACAAGCACACACATATTTCATGTTGCTTTAGGTGAACATGATTTATGTGTCTTTTTTTTTTTAATTTAAAAAAAAGTTTTAAAGGCACAATGGAATTAAGACTGTTTTAACTCGCTTACAAAAAGGAAGGAAGATTTGGACCACTCACATCACTGGCGGGAGAGAATTCCATAAAACTGGGCCTATGACAGAGAAGACCCATTTTTCTATCCACCCTCTTACATTGCAAGGACAGAAGACTCTGAAAGGCTTCTCTTGATGACCAGACCAGATGGGCAGATTCAACTCTGACAAGCTAATCCTGTTAAAGGGGTTTTGTTCAGATGCCACGTTGGAAGTGTCAAAATCCTCCAAGTCCTCATCTCTTTAAAAAAATAAAGACTTCTACTCTCTGTGGATCCAACTCCAATTATTTGTACTGTACTTATAAAATAAGTAAAGTACCTACAAAGTATGTTGTTGGAGCCATTTGTTAAGTATCAGCCTTTCTAACAGATGACTTAGTCGGTTTGCTGAAGTATACCCACATTCATAAAAGTCTGCACTAACTTCTAAGTAAGGCATTGTATTCTCAGAAATTTGACACAAAAACAAAACACTTCGGCTTAAGCGTTTAAGCTGTGCTTCCATATTAACTATTTTAAATGAGGCAAACAATGCTCCCCACTTTCCAAGTGCAACTCTCAAAAGGAACGAGAAAGAGACAGCAATATCTAGTGGCAGGTTTCTGACACTAAATCCATCTTTAAAGCGGATTTAAATTCCTCTTCAAGAGCTAACAATAAAGGTCAGGGACTGTTGGAGTGGACTGCAAAAATGTCTGCCTCACCCTACAGCCTGGTATCTCAGTTCTCACGCTGGTAAGTGTTAATTCTCAAACCATGAGTTCCAG